CTTTAACTTGCAAGAAGAAAAGTCTCTGGGTTATTTCTTGAATTAATTCCTCAGAAACATCTTCAGGAAAGAATTTAGCTCTAAACTTGAACTGTAAAGGATTCTCTTTTTTAACATCTTGCTGTGTCACCTAGAACAGTAATTCAAGTATAATCAATAAAAATCTCAAATTCAACACAACTGAGTCCAGTCACATCAAATTCTTTCTGGAAAAAAGAGGAAGTGAAATAAAAGTTTCCAAACCTTCAAGTAATACTATGTAAGATTTTAAATGTGTAAACAAATAAATGTGAGAAAAGCAATGCTATGCTCAGTTATGAAGGCTGCTTGTAACTCACAGATCTGATTTAATAACTAAATTGAAAACTTCTTTTCATATTCTGGAGACACTTATCCTGCAGATGTTCCAATTAAGGTCCAAATATGTAGTTATACAATATGTAATATCTGCCTTATGATAATAATTCACAGATACTAGTTTTCAACTAGGAAGTGAGCGTATCTTTTTACTCAAATGAAGTTGATGGTGCTTAATTTAAAAATATGACATCTTGCAATGATGAACAGAGATAACTATAAAAGCGACTCAGAATCAGACACTTAAATTTACCAGCAAATTCACAATAATTTCAAATTAACTTAATTACTAGCTTAATTTTATCATGCACATTTTACCTTTTTATTTAGTTTAAGCCACGTAGAATAACCTTTGCTGTCTACATACTGCAGCCCAAAAAACCAGACCTCACGCAAACCAACTGTTTTCACCACCTAAAAAAAAAAAAAAAAAAGAAAGAAAATTCATTCACATGGCAACTAGATGACACTAGAAACTAGACTTTAATAGAACAAAACTAGAGAGCTATAGATATATTCCTTTGCCATTAAAAAAAGGCATTTCCTAAGGAAAAATTGAACATATTCACAGAACATGTCTGAAAACTTACATTTGGATTTTCTTTTCTTTTTTTTTTTTAAGAAAGAGAGAGAATTTTTTAATATTTATTTTTTAGTTTTCGGTGGACACAACATCTTTATTTTATTTTTATGTGGTGCTGAGGATCGAACCCAGCGCCCCGCACATGCCAGGCGAGCGCGCTACTGCTTGAGCCATATCCCCAGCCCTAAATTTGGATTTTCTATATACTCGATTTTGTACTATCACTTCAGTCTTCATACTTGATTCACCTGTTTGTATTTTCTTTTCCTCATCTCCCATTACAACCTCAACAAATAACAAGTCCAGAGAACAAATATGCAATTGTCATAATCCTACATTTCTATTCCAACTTACTCTTAGAATTACCCTATTGGTATTCAGGGCAAATAGTTTGATTTTTGTGCTTAGAAAAGAGTCTGATATAGTCTATGTTCTACAATCACTAAGCATTAAACCATTCTTGGAACATGCCATAACTTTCACCCTTCTACACCTTTGCTCATGCTTTTTAACTCTCTGCTAGAATGTTTCTTCTGTCCTTTTGTCACCTGTTGAATAATTTATTATTCAAGGCTCAGCTCAACTAACATGCCTTCTGTGCAGAAAGCTCTCTCAATTTTTAGATAAATTAATCACTTGTTTCTGATTACTTTATTCTGCTATCAGAACACTTATTCTATCCTACCATTATTAAATGTGTTTTTAGTACTGTGTCTATTTACTCTCCTTCACTAACACTTAAGGACAGAGATTACTATTTTTTTTTAATTTTATTTTAACATCCAGGTCCTCTCACAGAATAATTATCCTATTGCAGGTACTCAGAAATACTGGAATAGAATAAAAGTGGTGCAGCTAGCATATACACCCAAGAGTATACCCACACTTAACAAAAGAATATTAAAACATACTTCAAATAAAATAAAATACTTAAAATGAAGGGAAGTGAGGGGTCACTAACATTTTAAAAACTTGAGAAGATTTAACTTCAGCTCTTAAATGATAAACATTGTTCATTTTTTAAAACTAATCTTAAAATATTCCAGGCTTTTGGTTTCAATACAGCAAATTGATCCTTCAGTTTACTCTCACTTGAAATTTTTCACTAAAATGTTACATACAAAAAATAGTTTCTCTCCAGGGAGAAATACCACTCTCAGAATTTTATTCCCTCTCTGCACCTGCTTGTCATTGTAGCAACAGAGAAAATGTAGTGAAAAGAAAGCCCTGGGGTGGTGAGAAGCAGCAGATGCATTTCTGAGCTTAGGTTAAGCAGCCAAGTGGCCAAAGTAGCCAATCACTGGCTCCCTGGTCTCAGGCCCGGCAAGCCAGTGGAATGTTTATCTGCATCTTTCTGTTTTCAAAGGCTGCAACTTGTGCTTCATGCCTTGCCCACTTCCCATGACAGAGTCAGAGGAGAATTAGACGAGTCCTGCTTTTTATTCTTTACCTGGGAATCTTGCTCCTGGAATGGTTTGCTCTTTCAATTCATCAAATACTCACAACACAGCAAGAAAGAGGCTGCCCAAGAAGACTGCCTGAATCAGGACAGCTCCCTGTGCTGAGCACATGCTAACAGTAGGGTTTTCTCCCTGCAGTAAAAGCACTTGCAGGCCTCAGTGTCTAGCACCAATCCCGAACTTACAGATATGCAGGCATGGAGCCCAAATGAACCCAGTGACTTTGAAGTAGATTTTTTTTTCCTCTATGCGAACTTCTCTGGCCTATGTGAATTCCAACTGTGCCTGTGGCCTCCTAATTTCTGGGATAGCTGGTCCAGGCTTTTTGTTTGTTTTAAAAGAGTAAAAATGGGGATTTAAAATCAAATCTTTTGTTTGCCCTTCTTTCCCTTTCTAACTTTCTTTTGAGGGAGGCATTTTGGATTCCTCATATACCTTAACTTATGAAGCCTGACTCCTGTTTCAGAAAAAAGGTGGCAGAGGAAAAATGAGAGGCAAGAGGAGTTCCAGGTCTTTCTAAGGAAAAGATTCTCTTTTTTGACTTTGTTGCATACCTGAAGGCTGGCCACTCATCATATGCTAGGGAGGGGTTATAATTTCAATACTGAAATTGTTTTTCCTTACCTGAACTATAATTCACCTTAAAAACAATTCCGGAGGGGGAAGAGGCAGTATTGTTCAGGGAGTGTGTATGTGTGACTCAGTGTGGCTGTTTTGTTTTGCAGTGGTTGTCTAAAATATTTTCACAGTATGTTTAATATTCGGTGTTTTAAAACACAGTAGTAGTCAGTAAAGTAGGATTCTGATTCTGGAACCTGGGATGTGTCCCATGTCAGTGGGTGAAGTTGTCACCTAGGGTGGCATCCACACACCAGCTCCATGGGCAGATGCAGGTGCTAGAATCAGAAAAACTAACAGACCCACATCAAAAGTAACCCAACAAGGGTTTTCATTTCATACAGGATACAGTATTTTTATTTTATCACAGAGTCATAATTTTTTTTGAAGTTTTCAAACTTTGAAATTTGAATGATTTCAAATTATATCAAATATTTAAATTATATTAAATATTGTAGTTTTAAAACTATAACAAAATCTAAAATTTCTATTTTTTGTTTTTCATTTATCTGTTCTCTCATCTATTAAATTGTTTTATGAGGGTGGAGAAGTTTTCTCTTCTTAACATTTGTTTCTATAACCAAAAATAAATTATATATTAAAGAAATAAAAAAAAGAATGTTTAAAATAAAAACAATTCAGTTGTGCTAAGAATATATTAAAGGTTATCATAACAAACACATTTTTGGAACATATGGAATATAAAGACTCATACTAATGTTGCAAAAGCTAATAATGCCAAACAATGAAAAATTTAATGCAGATAAAAGGAGATCCCAGATAACTTTGGCAAGAGAGAAGCTATCCAGCAAAGCCACAGAAAATGTTCAAGCTCAGGGTAGCAAGAATAGGAAAGGTATGGGGCAAAAGTAGCAGAGAAACGTGAACCTAAACAGATGGCCTCAGCTTTTGCCTCCATGCTTTGTGAGATTCACAATGCTGGCTGATTAAAAGGGGATGTGCCACAGTGGGCACAAGGCATAGTACTTTAACTAACTTTACACAACTAATATTCAAGACGATCGGGAAGAGTTTAGTTGTGAAATTCCCTAGTATGCCCAATCTCACAAGAAGCTCTTTCCCTACTTCTTCTGGAGGTATGATCAGAAACTTTTGATCACATACCTAAAAATTTTAAAATGCTGGGGGCATAACTACAACAGGTATTTTTTAAATAAAATATACTATTATATTAATAAAGACTATATTTTTAAAGAATTAGAAAAAGAAAAAAATATAAACAAAAATTTTAATAAGAGATTTCTGAGTATTCCTTGGGCACATGAATATTTTAATCCCACAAGTAGAAGCTAAACAAGGAGGCTAGGAGAGGAAGAGTCAGCCTCCAGGAGCAAACGAAAGAACTGCATGCACTCAATATAAGTACCCCCAAGAAGCCAGCCTCAATCTAATAATTAAAAATGGGATTTTGCTGCATGTTTACCCATGCAGCTATGCACTCTTGAGAGGACCCAGTCTGCTCCTGGTCTTACCTGAAGCTAGAAGAAAGGATTTTGAATGCTTTCACCATAAAGGAATGATAAATGTTTGAGGAGACAGAGAGTGTAACTGACTTAAACATTATACAATGTATATCTCACATTGTATATATACATAAAACTCAATTAGACATCACATTATATACAATTTTTAGGTTTTATGTATGTTTTAATATCTAAATTTTTTAAAAAGTACTATCACACAAATGTAGTAATAAGAATAAAGAATATCTCTATAGCTGTTCAAATTATATGAATAGGTATTGAGAAAAATTCCTGGTGCTACACTGTTGGACTATCAATAATGGTACAGGAAAATACAGATGTATAAACTAGTGGGATGGGGATGTGGCTCAGTGGTAGAGTGTTTGCCTCACATGCATGAAGGCCTGGGTTCAATTCTCAGCACCACACATATAAAAATAGTATGTAGTGGCATACATGTGGTATCAAAGTTGCATGCTTCATGTGATTAAATGATACCTGGTCAAAAAGCTGTTTGCCAGTTGTATTGGGCTGAATGGCAAATTCCAGCTCAGCATCCATTGTAGTTACTCTTACATTGATCTATAATAAAAACAGAAGAGAAAATCATTAGGAAAGACAATATACTTAATTACTTATTTAGTAGACATGAGAAAAATCTTTTATCTGATTTATAATATTTCCTTTATTAAAATGATATAATTAGACTTAAGATTTTCTGTGATTCAAATCAATTTGGGGGGAAAAAAAGAGCTTCTGAAGTCCTTATTTAAAAACATCTCCTTCAGTCTGACATAACTTTCCTATGTATATATATGAATATACCACAGTGAACCTCCATATCATGTTTATTTATGAGAATTAGAATAAGATATACTCCATGTTTGTATAAATATGTCAAAATTGACTCTACTGTCATGTATAACTAAAAAGAACAAATAAATAAAATAAAAAGTCACATAGCTCCTTTGCTTTAAACTAATGTGCTCTCCCAAGGTTAAGCAGTTCAGAGAGAGCAGGAGTCAAGGAAAAGGGGTCATCAAAACGCTACCAAGAAAAAATAAACACATCTCAATACTTAACATGCACTGGGACAATAAGCCATGAACTTTCTATATTCTCATTTAGCCCCTGCAACAATACTGGAAGATATTATTTCACATCTATGGAAACTCAAAAGGTTCCCATTACTTGCCCAAGCACACATGGAGATGAAAAAGCAGAGTAGGTATTTAAACTGAGGTATAATTCCTAATTCTTTGTTATTCACTATGCCACATTTCTTTCAACATAAAAATCACATACTTATTTTTGTTCATATGACAAACATTTTCTTGACTTTATAAAAGACATTTATTTTCTACAGCACTTTATGTACAGGACTCCATTCTTTTTTTAATTAATTATTTTTATTTATATATGACAGCAGAATGCATTACAATTCTTATTACGGGACTCCATTCTAAATACTATTTTTTGTATAAATACTGTTCTAATTGATCTCAAAACTTAACATTACTTACCACATTTTTACCCCAGAATACTATCTTCACCTGAAATTCCTCATGTATTTCAAAACTCTCTTATAACTTTAATTCACATTATAAGAACTTTTGATCAGATTCCTCATACCCCTTTGCATGTCTTAATCACTTTAACACCATATGTGGTGTGGCTTTTACCTGAATGCCTTCTCTAAACAAATCATATAAATTCATCCTTCTTAAAATAATCTTATTTGTATTTTTCTTTAAAATATCTTATTAAAAATATTGATATAAAAATACATGTAAAACATACGTAAACAAAGAAAAATGAAGTCCATAAATTTAACATCCAACTTAACTAGAAATGACAACTTGTTACATACATCACTGTATTTCTTTGCCAATTTACTTTTCCTCATCCCTACCCCCAACACATACAGGTAAATAATAATCTGAAATTTTTTTTTTTTTTTTGTCATTCTCTTTCTTTTTTTTTTTTCCTTTTTGGTTTTGGTACTGGGGATTAAGCCCAGGAGTATTCTACCACTGAGCTACACCCAAGCCTTTTTTATTTATTTTGAGAGAGGGTGGCACTAAATTGCCTAGGCTGGTTTTGTTCATATGACAAAATCTCAGCCTGCCAAGTCACTGGGATTACAGGTATGCACCACCACACCTGGCTGTCATTCTCATCTTTAAAAACTAGTTATATCACTCACAGGTGTGTGTATGCATGTTTGTGTACACACATATATATATAATCAATTAAAAAGTTGATTTTTTTCAGCTATACTATAATTGCAAGCACTTGCTAACGTAAGTCTTCTTTCTTAGTATGGACAATGGTTACATGGATATATTCACTTTAGAAAAGTTCAATTATAATAAACATGTTAATTGTACAAATTACTGGGATTCACTATGATGTAGTCTTTTGATTTGTAGATTCTACTTCAATTAAAACATTTTAAATTGTACACTATACTTTGATTTTTCAATTATATTTCTAAGATTGACATTTCTGTGAGTAGTTACAAGTCATTTTCACAGCTATACCATCTTCTACAAGTGATTAAACAATTTATGTACCCATTTTTCTATCAATGGACATTGTTTCCATTGTTATGAAGTCTTATACACTCTCCTAGTACATATGCATCAGAATTCCTCTACAGGTATTTACACAGAAAGAGAACTCCCAGATGATAAAATATGCATACCTCTTATTTTAACCATGTAATGAGAAACAGTCTTACAATAGTGCCTAAGAGGGGGCTGGGGATGTGGCTCAAGCGGTAGCGCACTCGCCTGGCATGCGTGCGGCCCAGGTTCAATCCTCAGCACCACATACAAACAAAGATGTTATGTCTGCCAAAAACTAAAAAATAAATATTAAAATTCTCTCTCTCTCTCTCTCTCTTTAAAAAAAGAAAAAAAAATTCCATTGGGAAAAAAAAAAGAATAAACTTTAAAAAAAAAATAGTGCCTAAGAATTCTTATTGATTGCATTTTCACTAACAGTGGGTATCAGCAGATTTCTTTAATGATAACCTAGTAGATATGAAATGATATATCAATATGGTCTTAAAATATGCATCCCTGATTCCTGATGAAGTTGAAAACCTGTTTGTATATGTGGCATACAGAATTCTAAAATGATCCCCATAATCCCTGTGCCCTAGTGTTTCACCCATGATTATATTGCACTACATGATAAAAAAGAATTTTGTAGATACTCTTAAGGTTCACAATCAGTTAACCTTAAGAGAGATTATCTGGCCAGGTGTGGGGCATATGCCTATAATCCCAGCTACTCAGGAGGCTGAGGCAGGAAGATCACAAATTCAAGCCAGTCTGGGCAACTTAGACTCTGTTTCAAAAATTTTTAATTAAAAGTGGGAGTGGATGTTGCTCAGTGGTAGAGCCCTTGCCTAGCCTATATGAGGTCCTGTGTTCAATCACCAGCACTGCAAAAAATGATAAAAGGTTATCTAGGTAAGCCTAAGCTAATTACTAACCACTCAGTCTCACCTTTGAAATGTCTGTTCACATCTATGTCTTATTTTCCTATTGTGTTTTGTTTCTTTCTCATGCTTATAATAGGAGGTCTTTGTATATTAATCTTTTCTCAGTTATTTGTGTCAAAAAAAATCTCCCTGTTTGTCATTCTGTATTCTTTATGGTGTCCTTCTTTTTAATAAACACATATTCTTGATTTTAATGTTTTAAATACAGATGTCACTTTTTTGCCATTTGTTAACTGACTCTATAGACTCTTCCTTGTCTATAGAGTCACAAAGATATTCTTATATTTCTTAATCTACATCTTAAAAGGTTTTGGATTATATCTCTTTGATTTTTGCTTATGATGAAAGAGATCTGATTTCATTTTTAATCCCCATTGGATAATATTATGAAAATTTTTTAAATCTCAACATAATTTATTTACTCCCCAAAGACTGTCACAAACCAAGCATCTGTACAGGCATGGATCTTTGTTATATCAGCCAATTTAACTATTCTGCTAATATCATGCTGTTTTAATTACTATATCTTCAAATAAGTCTTGATATTTGGTAGGGCAAGTCTCCCCTCATTATTCTACAGAACTGTTCTGGCTATTCTTGGTTCTGTATTTTAGTTCCTGCCTCCAAATAAAATAGTAAATTTTCAAAACCCCACATTTATAATTTAGAACTACACTATATTAATCAGTCTTTCAGGGTAAGAACTGACATCTTTCCAATATTAATTCTACCCACAACTATGGTTCTTGTGTGCAATGATTTAGGACATCTTCAATGTTTTTTAGTCTCTTTTTTGAAAGAGACTACTTATAGTTTCTCCATAAAGATAATACTACTTTTATCCCCTGGACATTAAAGTTTTGTAGCAATTGTAAATATGGGTCCACAGTCCTTAATCCATAATTTTGACATCCTAAAAGCATTCAAGAATGAAGTTTTAGTTTATTTTGGGCAAAAATTTGATATGAAGTAATGTGAACTATCACTCACGGTGAATTAATTTATTCCATTTCATATGGACATTCACACATTTCTCTATAGAAATGTTAATGATGCCATAGAACTAATAAAAGTTTCAGGACATAATGTAATATACATTATAATACATAGTCACCCTTCTAAAATACTAAAAATTCCAAATTCTGAAACTCAGCTAGTTTCAAGGGTTTCAAAGGCAGGACTGTGAAATCTGATGAAATATCTCTTCAAATTGTTCTGTTTGGAATTTTAAGGAATAAAACTGATTTTATATTGATCCTATTATTTCACTTGTCAATTGTTATGAGTCTATAAATCTTTGTGTTTCTATAAAGCAAGAATTAGCAAGCTTTTCTATAAAGAGCTAAACGGTAAATATTTTCACTTTGAAGATCATACAGTCTCTGTTGCAGTCACTTAACTCTGAACCTAGGGCAACAAAGCAACCATAGGTAATAAACAACTGAGCATACTGTGTTCCAATAAAACTTTATTATGGATCCTGAAATCTAATTTCATATAGTTTTCAGGTGTTACAAAACAACCTTTTTTTTCAACCACTGAAAATGTAAAAAAAAAAAAAAAAAATCATTCTTAGCTCATAGGCAGTAAAGAACAGGTTAGTAAATTTCAGTAATCCTAAAATTCTCAAATAGCATTTCTTCCTTTCCTATATATACTTAAGCTTTTCTATTTTTGTACAACAGGTTTTGCTATTCAAAGTTGAATAGTAGCCATGATAACATGTATCTCCTATCTTGTTCTTGATTTTAAGACTGTTTCTACCATTAACATATTTAGAACAGTTTTTACTTTACATTCCTTCTCCATTTTTATTTTTTAAACCATAAGTGGTTGTTCAGTTGTAGCAACTGATCTTTCTGAATGTATCACGATTTTTCTCCTTTAAACTAATGGCATGACACAGAGTTACTAAGCTATAATGTCTCTTGGAACTAGGTATGCCCTTGTGACTAAGCTGTCACCGATAGAACATGAGCACTACAGAGGCAGATTATTCCTCTGCATAAGCATAAAACAGTGGGGGCATGCTTGCCCGCGCTT